CATGAACATCGAGGAGCTATTCACTGACATTTTCACTGAAAGTGAAAAATTCGAAATTTTTGAAAAAGTATCAGGGTAACATGAACGTCGAGGAGCTATTCACTGAAATTTTCACTGGAAGTGAAAAATTCGAAATTTTTGAAAAAGTATCAGGAGAACATGAACGTCGAGGAGGTATTCAATTTTTAAACGATATTTCGAATGATTAGTCATTTACAAAAAGAAAATAGGAATTATTAAAAAAAAAAAATGATTGTTGGCGGGCTCGAACCCCAGCCGTCTGCGTGCTAGCCAAGCACGTTGCCCGTTAGACAACGCGCTCATTATAATAATACAAGTTCATTAGTAGTATATCTTCAATACATCGGATAATTTTTTCCATTTGAAATTCCACAAGATGTGGTTTCCCCCTTCCGCTCATTCTACAGTCGGCTAAATTTCAGTTAAAGAATTAAAAAACAAAAAGCATTCATACCGCAGAAAATAAAATTCATCCCGTCGACTTGATGGACACCCCAGCATTGCAACAAAAAGTTGGTTAGTAAAAAAAAAACACCCCACCATTGCATATGGCACCCTCCCTCTCTTGGGGTGCAGTACTATGATGCCGAACGAGAGTTTATCGAAATAGAGATCAACGCGGCTTGCCGTCGGATATTAATTAATTTTTTTCAAAACTTTACTCGCATACTTCCTACAGAATGCGTAATGATTTTACGATCACTTCTAAGCAGACGAATGAAGACATAAATCATCATCACAAAACGTATATAAATAAAATTAATTTATTTCAAAATGATTTATAAATGTTATTCGTCAATATTATTATCTCTTCACCGCAATTCAAAACATGCCCTAAAAATGCGCGGGAAAAAAATCATGATGAAATTTGCTCTGACGTCTAAGTAAAAAAAAAATCCGATAATTCTAGTAAAAGTCATTTTCTCGAAACATAGTAAAATCTTACACTTCTAATATTCAATTAATCTAAAATCGAAATGCGTACAAAAACATTACAATCTTTCCTGACTTCATCATGACGATTAATTACAAATCATTTATCATATTTACCATACAAATGTTCCCAATACTAAGAAAAATGTCCTTGAATTACACCAGAAAACTAACACAGGCTCGATAAAATCATTTGTCATTCAATTCTGTCACTTAAATGCTCTAAATAGCAGATACAAGATTCATTGTCACCGATAAAATCATAAAAAACCCGAAAAAAAATGGCTCATTGGGCTAACCACCCCCTTCCCTGAAAGAATTTCACAACATGCCTGAGTCTCTCCTTGTACGTTTTCCCATTCGGCCTCGTAAAAAGATTTTCCACAGCATAAGACTCAGGATCGTTAGCATCAACATCCAGGTTCATCAGCCTAGCCATGAACAAGCAGTGAGTGAATTCCACTCTCCCATCCCTCCTGACCATCTCCCGAAAGCTCTCGGGCGAGTACATCTCCACCTTACAATTAAGCGCCTTCAGCCGTCTGATTACCTCATCGTAATAATAATCAATAAGTTCATGAGCATGTGGAACAGTGTCAGCATCAAGGCCCGAGCCAAGGAAAAAGGTGAGTTCCCTGGCAGGACTGAGGAACAAGTAATTCTGATAATCCACAAACTTGATGTCATCAGGCTCATCAGAGCCATCCGGCTTGTGAAACAAAATATTATTTGCCCAGCAGTCAGAATGAATGATTGTCGACCAGGGTTCCTCAGGTGGATCCGTCCAGACACTGGCGTCAGTACTCTCCACAGTTTTAACGCACGCCTCCCAGAATTTCCCGATCTCTGGATCATCCGCGATTTCCTGAAGCTGTTTCTGCACCATCTTTCCCCACTGATCGCCATTTTTACCGTCGAGGCACTTCGACCGCTTCTTCAGGACCCCAAAGAACTCCGGGTCCTTCTCTTTCGTTGCCATTCCCAGGGCGTGAAATCTCGCCATCGCCTTGATAATGAGCTTGGCGTGCACCAGGTCACAACCCCGTCGTTTGTCTGTAGAATAATAACCCTTTGGCGTCAAGTTATCCAGGAGAATGGCTGCGTCGTCGTCGAAATCAACGTCAGAGCTCAGGGAGAGCCTTGAACCGTAGTAACGGGGACTGATTTCGGGTTCATTCACTCCATTGGCCTTCTCCAGCTGTTCGTAGAACGGCAAAATATCCGAGTACATGAAGATCTCCTTCTGGAATGTGAACGGAGTGTCGAACATGTCACGCTGCAATTGCGTGGGTGCTGGGAGTTTCGCCACCAGGTAGAGGTCTTCCGGATCTTCTTTATCGCTTCGTTTTATCACTGCGTGAACACTCAGTAGTTTGCTACCGTAATTCTCACCCGGGGGTAGCAACTCTCCGGTGACGTATCTCTCGACGATCGTGTCATCGCCGAGGCTTTTGTGCAAGAGCGACTCGAGGTCCTTCAGGTACTCGGACATTCTTTTTTTTTCTTCGTCTTCTTTTTGGCGAACAAGTCAGGCTGGTGACCGAATCTGTACTGAGAAAATCGGTGCTGCAATTGTCGAGGAAACTAGGCCTTGGCGAACACTTCCCTTTTATTTAAGGGGGGGCATGTAATCTACACACTGATGTTTACAGTGACTTGTTGAAAGAGTGTGTGGGGAATAACAGAAATACTGAGATCATACTAACGGATTCAAGAATTTACAAAAAAAAAACAATTACTCTCTCAATTGCAGACAATCCCAAAAAATTGTATTCAACTTTTCTTTTTTTGCGATCTTCTGTTCACCTGTTTGAAAAATATTAATAATCAGAATATTAATGCTGTTATTGTTGATGATTGAAAAAACCGGGAGAGAGGGAATTTCTTCGATAATTCGCTGGGTCTCTGTTGATTTCTGTTTCTATTACGATTTTGCATTGAATTTAATATTCGATTTAATTTTATGAAGTGTCTTGATAAGAGGGATCAGATGGCTCAATGAAAATAAATAGAGTGCCTAGATAAGGGCAAATTTCCCTCGGAAAATTTATGGAATTGGATAGGGATATCTGATCAAGTGGCAAAAATATGACTATGAGCACAGGCTTTCGGATTACGAGAGTAATAACACAATTTGTTCCGAAGGATTTCCGACGTGCGATTGATAGTTCGAAAAGAAAATTCATAATTATCGTGGGTTCACAACTCACGAGGGGTTTCTAATTATAATTTCTTCTCGGTGTAAACCTGTATTTATTGATCGAAATAAAGTAATCGAAAATATTTGGGGAGATTTTTAATTAAATTTAATTAAATCTTGGCTTTTGCCAAATTTAATTAGCAATATGTAATTGATATTGTATAAATTCTTTTAATAGTTGCATTGACGAAAGGAATAATGACAACTGGAAAATAAAATTCACTCATACGATACATTTCAGTTGCTCGCACTTGGCGGCTCATTTAATCACTCATCATGGATTATGATTGAAATGATAATTCGGCTTTTCCAATTGGAGATTTCCATCCACTAACCTCCTGCCAGTAGATCTGAGGATTTTCACTCACAGTATCCTTGTTAATGAACATCTCTTCATTATTCACTGGCTCGACTTCCACAGAGCTTCTCTCGTTTTTTTTTTTATCAAAGATACTCTTGAAAATCTCGTAAACCACTTCAACCGCACTGATGATGCTGAATCCTAAGAATAAACTGCAGAGAGATCCGTAATTGCCTTTGGGTAATTACGGTAATGACATTAATAATTGTGGCGCGTCAATTGAAAAACCTAGTGTTCATCTGAAAATTCCATCAGTGGAGA